CTGGGTAAGGGAATTCTGCCTTGTGGTAATGTTGCACCAAGGCTTTAACTGCGATGGGTAGAACTTCCCATCGCTGTTTGGCATGGTTCTGGAAATCAGTTTCGTTGAGGGACTGCTTACCCATCGATGGGAAGATCTTCCCATCGCTGGGTGGCATGATTCTGGAATCCCGGGATCACTTACCCATGCATGGGTGAAAGCTACCATCGCTGGGTAGATGGCTAGCCCAGAACCATGGCCTAGCTGACCGGCGCTGAAACCCGACCGAAAAATGCAAAGTTCTCCAAAGTAAAAACTAAGTATATAAAACACTTATTTAATGTATTTTGATGTCAAAACAATCTTTGTAAGTTGAAAACCACGTCGTTAAGGTAAAAACCACGGTTGACCAAGTCAACACCGTACATGGGTGGTTTTCACCAAAAGACAAAACCGAAAGGTGGTTTTCATGATGTTTTAATTGGAGAACCATTTAAATTCATTCAAAAACAATTCCCACACAAAAATACTCGAAAACCACTTCATTTAAGTAAAAACCACGGCTAGCTAAGTTAATGCCGTTTCACATGGTTTTTATCAAACGACAACAAACGAAAGGTGGTTTTTGAAGTGTTTTTGATGAAAAACTATTTAAATGTGCCCGGAAGTAAAAACCAGTCATAAAAAGTTGAAAACTATTTGGTTAGTTCGGACGCCAAAAACCAACGGCGAAAACCAAATGCCGAATGCCGGTTTCTGAAACCCGAACGCCGGATGGCTTGGTTTTTGGTTTGGGCGAACACCAAGTGTTTTTAATGACTTAAACAAGTTTGAAAAACATTTTTATGATGTAAGAAATGCAATGAGATATTTTAGCCTAAAGAGCCAAGGTGTAAAGATTGGGTCGGTCTTGATCACAATAAAGACCGACTCAATACTATGATTAAGGTCTTCGTTCTTGGTCTTCGTTTAGCTCTTGCTCTTATCTTCGTTCTTCGCCTTGTATATTCAATGTTCGACTTGATCACGGCAGTTTGGCATTATCAAAACCTGTTACAAAAACGAACACGGCTTTAGTACGAAAACGTGATAAACCCGTGTTTCAACAAACTACTCTTAAGATATAGAATTAGGAATTTGGCTAAAATAGCATCACACTATTTTATAAATACTCAAAGAGTAAAAGAAGTTTTCAATACTCAAAGTTATGTTTACAATGGCCATAGGGCCTGATTATATAGGGAGAGAGGAAAGGGGAAATACAAAATACATTGAATGTAGACATGAGGAAGCTTCCTAGCAACATCCTCTATCAAAGCATGGGGCATTCTTCATTCAAACCTGTGTCCATAGTGGGATAAAATTTAGGGATGGGGCTGGTGTTGTGGGGGTTTGTGTTTTGGTTCCTTGTGGTTGTATCCTGGGTTTTTTTGTGGCTATTATTTAGGTAAAAATGGGGGTTGTTTTTGGCTAATAAAAGGGGGCAGGGATGGGGGGTATAATGTGTGGTTTTGGACTTATGGGTTTGGGTTATTTGTGAGGGAATATGGGCAGGAATGAGTGGCTAGT